TCCAGGGTTGAATTTTGGATTGGATTAGGGTCTTAGGGTTGATGAGATATACGAAGTCAACTAAACGTTGGGCCAGGTTTTTTTTTTTTTTTTTTTTAAATTGAGAGAAAATCAACACCAACTGGGGAGAGCCCTCCCAGTGGCATCGAGAGAAACTAAAAACCTAAGTTCCCAGGGAAAATCCTGAAGAAATCACTCCTCTAATTGACCTTTGTTTGCCAACCAATTTGATGCACCATGTCCTTCCCTATTGATGTGGTCGTAGATGATCCTTGCTAAGTTTCTGTTGAGCTAACTGCTTACATTCAACCAGTGAGTTGCACTTCCATGGGATCCTCAAGCGATCTTAAGAATTTTTATTACCAGGAGAGAGTCGCCTTCTATGATGATAAACAGTCATTTACCTGTAAACCAAGTTTGTGGGCCTCAAACGCAACCCACATTTTAGCCACTGAAATGGTTGCGATGCCAATTTTGCCTTTTTTGCTTGGATAATTTCTCCCAACGCAACCATACGGGCAACTCCCATTTTGCTTGTCTGATGCAGCAAAATTAATTTTGATGGCACTAGGTTCAGGTGGTATGATGGTATCCATTTCTCCTCTATGATTTCTCACAATGCAACCATACGTGCAACTCCCATTTTGCTTGGATGATGCAGCAAAATTAATTTTGATGGCGCTAGGTTCAGGTTGGGTCCACATGATCCAGTTTAAAATTCTTGTGACCCTTCCATTTTGGTTGCCAATGGCTCCATTTGGTTCTAAGAAATCTTTCATATGGTTCCACACCTTTGATATTATTTGTTAGGGGGATGGGGCCAGGGGGGGAGATTTATTGTTAAAAATTTTATCATTTCTATTTTCCATAAAAAACAGAAAACAGAAGCTATTTGCTCCCAAACGCAAGGGTTGCTATTTGACATTTTACAAGAATGTGATCCTGGTCTTCCTCCTCCCCACAGAAGGGGTAGTTTGGGTCTATATTAACACCCTATTCACATAATCTTTCTCGACTTTTTAATAATCTTTAGAATTATAGGATCTAGTCTTTCATCATTTATTCGGAAGTTATAAGCTGATTTGGTTGAGAGGTTTCCATCCGTACATGCTCCCCATATTTTCTCATTGTGGATGTGGATTGCTTTTATATTGTTTATTATATCAACTAGAACTAATTCAGCTAATTTGGCAAAGCCCCATCTTTTGTTCTTTGGGTTTATTACTTCACACACCTTTAGCTCAAGATTTTTTTAATTCCAATCCCTATTTGATATGATGTCCTCCAAATTATATATATGAATTTTTTTAATGAACTTTAATGAATAAAGGCATTGTTCCCTTCATTTCTTGTTCTACTTCAAGTTCATCTCTTAATGAATTTAATTCTTATTTGTAAAATATATTTTTTAAGTTTCCTTACATTTGAGGAAATAGGTACTTTTGTTATTTTAATATAGTAGAAAGCACAGGAAAATATGTTAGACAATATATGCTCTTAACTCCAATCAGCATGGTGTATATTATGACATTTATTGTAAATAAATAAAGTATATATTTAATTCATGTTATTATGGTGTGTTTCTGTGTAATACCCTTAAACTAGATACATATGAGATTCGTGTTAGTTTAGAATCTTCATAGCCATTGGATAGATCTGGGGAGATTTATCATGCTAAGGCTGACACTGATGTACTACCAAGTTGGTTGGGGTGGCTTGTCTCAACTGTCAAGGTGAGACCTGAGGTACATGCAGTGTGGGTTTTCTTCCGGAACCGGACCAAAATTCCAGTATTGCCCTGGACCTTGGAGATAGATGAGAAAAACTGGAATGTTACACCTGACCCCTAGACTCGATTATGATACTGCACTAGGTGTCGGATTAGGTTGTCTTTGATATGCCAATCAGTGAGATCCTTAGAGGGGGTCAAAACCTGGGTGTGTTGGGACAGTCCGAGAATTCATCTGAGTGGGTGATCATAGTGACAGGATCAACCTCTTTGTCGGACAAAGTGAATGATCGGGGATGCACTCTCTCTAACGGAAACCTAAACTGTCGGGAGTTGATTTCAATCGTTGAAATTTGTTTTT